GAAGAGTCTAAACCCTTAGGCTGCTACGCACGGCATATGTCGTTTTCAAAAGTCAGGTCGTCAGTGCTACGCACGGCATATGTCGTTTCTCGGTCTGTAGGTTTAGATCGGTAGCCAGGAAGTGTGAAGTCGGGTTGTTGCTATACCAAACCCGAACATGTATAGTAGAAGGCTTCTGATTGGTTGTTTTGTCATTACTTTCGATATTCCGGCAGTGTACCCTAGTAATGACCAAAGGTGTGCGAGAGAATTTCAAATCGGAAAAAAAATCATAAAAATGGCGGACATGTAGATTGTACAGCTGAATATGATGGTAAACATTTATTCTCCAGCGTCACCTACGATAATAGTAAAGGTTTTGAAGGGTTTGACATAGTTGATGTGGAAGTACTTCGGTGTAACATGATATGTAACTTTCTAATGAATGGCTTTGTGCCCTACGCAAACAGGAAAATATCGGCGGACCGAGGCGCACATGTCGTCTGCAGGTGAAGCGGAATTGAACATTGACATTGATACGTTTTGAGCCGATTTCTTCAAACTATTTATCGATGATTTAATCATAAACTAGACCGTAGCTAAGATATATCTATATGCCGATTGTGACAGTAAATATATTGAATGACGACCTGAAACCTGTAGCAAATCACATGCAATTCTTAATGAAATACCTGACCTTTTTACCTTATAATCTCTGGTAAATGTACAGCGTCTTATAGCAAAAATGAAGTTTATAATCTCTGTTATCATTTGCCAATCACATTTGCGGACAAAAATAATTTCAAAATTATCTTTCTCTTGCTTTAATCCGATTAATTGAAAGTTTCACCTTTTCTTACCTTTATCACCACCTGTACAGGTAAATACTGAAGCAACTTTAGAATTGAAAACGTTAATATAAACTAGAGACAATAACAAATAATTTTCATATAACTTTTGTTCACATAACAAATATTTTTCAAATTATGCATATTTGAAAAATCAAGTAAATTAATTAATATTTCAATAATTAATTCAGCAGTTGTGTCCCTTTATATAGAAATCAATGTAGCAGCCTAAGGGTTAAGGTGCTTTACCAAAATTCAGCTGACTGACAGAACCACTATTTGTACTTAGTACATATACTACCCAGATCTTTCACACTAATTTGGCATTACATGTAGTTCAAGTTACCTTTGTTACAAAATGATTTCTTTTTCATTTGGCAACATCAATAACATCAGTTTTTACATAACTCAGGTGACCGTTAAGGCCCATGGGCCTCTTGTACCTTTAAGTGGTCTATATTTAGTATCTATGTTGTACTTGTTGTGGTACTACACAGGTGTATTGAATTAAAACATGTTGCTATACTTGCATTCACACATTAGCAATGTCATTATATTTATCTGTGATAAAAGATATGATCTTAATTACTGGGTATGTGAAACAGTCAGTATAGTGGTATGACTAATGGTCAGTGTAAGGGTAAGACTTTAACAGTCAGTATATATCCTGGTCAGTATAGTGGTATGACTAATGGTCAGTGTAAGGGTAAGACTGTAACAGTCAGTATATATCCTGGTCAGTATAGTGGTATAACTAATGGTCAGAGTAAGGGTATGACTGTAACAGTCAGTATATATCCTGGTCAGTGTGATGGTATGACTGTAATGGTTAGTTCGGCCATGTAGTATATAGGTATAGACTTGTTTCAGTTCAGTGAATTATAAAGTTTGTAATAACTGGGAGGCTTTATCAATAAAATCCTTTGTGTACGAGCAAGGTACACACAGAAGTTCTATTAATAAGTAGTTATAAATCTCATTGTGTGAACACCAATGGTATAAAAACCAAACAAGGGTGGCACCCCTTCCATACCAATGTACTATAATTACAGACAGCTCATGCTGCACATGTACAGGGCAAGCATTTGGTTCCTGTGCTGGAAAGTAAAATAGATAAAAGGGTGTTACAAAAATAGAAACTACATATGTAGCTCCAAAAGAACAGACATAATCAAAGTCATTAGTTTTCCTGTCAAAATGGATTTTTATTGAAACCAAATAATAAAAAAAGAAGATTAATTTTTAAACCATGAAGTGGTAAACCTGTGAGCTGATTGGCCGTTGTTGCAGACAATGGATGTGTGTACTGGTGTCTGGTCACCAATTGTCACGGTTTTGTTAAACACATGCTAATATTGCTACATATACTGTTGAGGTTTGTCGCCTCACATATTTTATATGAAGAATGAGCTCGTGACCAGTTCTTTGAGGTTTGTCGCCTCACTGTATGTTGTATGAAGAATGAGCTCGTGACCAGTTCTTTGAGGTTTGTCGCCTCACTGTACATTGTATGAAGAATGAGCTAGTGACCAGTTCTTTGAGGTTTGTTGCCTCACTGTATGTTGTATGAAGAATGATCTTGTGATCAGTTCTTTGGGGTTTGTCGCCTCACTGTATGATGTATGAAGAATGAGCTCGTGACCAGTTCTTTTAGGTTTGTCGCCTCACTGTACGTTGTATTAAGAATGAGCTTGTGATCAGTTTTTTGAGGTTTGTCGCCTCACTATATGTTGAATGAAGAATGAGCTTGTGATCCGTTCTTTGAGGTTTGTTGCCTCACTGTATGTTGTAGGAAGAATGAGCTCGTGACCAGTGCTTTGAGGTTTGTCGCCTCACAGTATGTTGTATGAAAAATGAGCTCGTGACCAGTTCTTAGAGGTTTGTCGCCTCACTGTACATTGTATGAAGAATGAGCTAGTGACCAGTTCTTTGAGGTTTGTAGCCTCACAGTATGTTATATGAAGAATGAGCTCGTGCCCAGTTCTTTGAGGTTTGTCGCCGCACTGTACATTGTATGAAGAATGAGCTAGTGACCAGTTCTTTGAGGGTTGTTGCCTCACTGTATGTTGTATGAAGAATCAGCCCGTGACCAGTTCTTTGAGGTTTGTCGCCTCTCTGTATGTTGTATTAAGAATGAGCTTGTGATCAGTTTTTTGAGGTTTGTCGCCTCACTATATGTTGAATGAAGAATGAGCTTGTGATCAGGTCTTTGAGGTTTGTCGCCTCACAGTATGTTGTATGAAGAATGAGCGCGTGACCAGTTCTTTGAGGTTAGTCGCCTCACTGTATGTTGTATGAAGAATTAGCTCGTGACCAGTTCTTTGAAGTTTGTTGCCTCACTGTATGTTATATGAAGAATGAGCTCGTGCCCAGTTCTTTGAGGTTTGTCGCCTCACTGTATGTTAGATGAAGAATGAGCTCGTGACCAGGTCTTTGAGGTTTGTCGCCTCACTATATGTTGAATGAAGAATGAGCTTGTGATCAGTTTTTTGAGGTTTGTCGCCTCACTGTATGTTGTATGAAGAATGAGCTTGTGATCAGTTCTTTGAGGTTTGTCGCCTCACTGTATGTTGTATTAAGAATGAGCTCGTGACCAGTTCTTTGAGGTTTGTCGCCTCACTGTATGTTATACGAAGAATGAGCTAGTGACCAGTTCTTTGAGGTTTGTCGCCTCACAGTATGTTGTATGAAGAATGAGCTCGTGACCAGTTCTTTGAGGTTTGTCGCCTCGCTGTATGTTGTATTAAGAATGAGCTTGTGACCAGTTCTTTGAGGTTTGTCGCCTCACAGTATGTTGTATGAAAAATGAGCTCGTGACCAGTTCTTTGAGGTTTGTCGCCTCACTGTATGTTGTATTAAGAATGAGCTTGTGACCAGTTCTTTGAGGTTTGTTGCCTCACTGTATGTTGTATGAAGAATGAGCTCGTGACCAGTTCTTTGAGGTTTGTCGCCTCACTGTATGTTGTATGAAGAATGAGCTCGAGACCAGTTCTATGTGTTCCACAGTACTAGACTCCTGTCACAGCTTCTTAGTGAGAAATAGTGTTGTCTGCGAACAGTCACACCGAGATTGTTTTGTAACGGGAGTATAGGACTGAACAGTCACACCGAGATTGTTTTGTAACAGGAGTATACGACTGAACAGTCACACCCAGATTGTTTTGTAACAGGAGAGTAGGACTGAATAGTCACACCGAGATTGTTTTGTAACAGGAGAATAGGACTGAACAGTCACACCAGGATTGTTTTGTAACAGGAGAACAGGACTGAACAGTCACACCGAGATTGTTTTGTAACAGGAGAATAGGACTGAATAGTCACACCGAGATTGTTTTGTAACAGGAGTATAGAACTGAACAGTCACACCGAGATTGTTTTGTAACAGGAGTATAGGACTGAAAAGTCACACCGAGATTGTTTTTTAACAGGAGGATATGACTGAACAGCCACACCGAGATTGTTTTGTAGCAGGAGTATAGGACTGAACAGTCACACCGAGATTGTTTTGTAACAGGAGAATAGGACTGAATAGGACTGACAAGCTGTTCCTGTAACTGTCCCCTCCTTTATACCTGGAAGATACATATGTTGGCTGTGTCTAACCCTTTGTTGCGATAATGTTGAATTCTTTAACACAGACATATCCTGGCATGTTTTGATGAAACAAAAAAACCATACAATTTAAAATCAACTCTTTTTTTGAAATAAAAAAATCAAAAATTTTAAATCAAAATTAACTCAGAATGGCTGAACAAGTATGTACATGTATCTGTAAAGCAATGATTTTGGAAACCATAGAGTATGATCTTGCATAGTATTGACATCCATGAGTAAAACTGTGGCTTATATTTCAAGCACTCTAGTGATAGAGATTTTAGTATGCATTCACAATGAATGCTTATATTGCTGGTTATTGTGTTTCAAAAGTTTGCAGCAATGAATAATGGAAAATATTGATTTCAGCTTTCTAATAATGTGTATATTGTGTAAATACATAAATTCAAAACATTCCTAAACTTTTAGAAGTTGTTTACGACCAATAAAACAGCTTGAAACAACAATTGCCATGAAATAGGAATGCAAAGCTTAAATTGACTGAAGTAACATTGCTACATATGATCAGCCATGCCTCAAACATTGACATACTTTATATACACATGTACAGTAGCTTCTCTCAGTCATCATGGGCAGCATATTCTGCAGGTAACTTAATGATTCCAGTTTACAATACGTCAGGTAACTTAATGATTCCAGTTTACAATACGTCAGGTAACTTAATGATTCCAGTTTACAATACGTCAGGTAACTTAATGATTCCAGTTTACAATACGTCAGGTAACTTAATGATTCCAGTTTACAATACGTCAGGTAACTTAATGATTCCAGTTTACAATACGTCAGGTAACTTAATGATTCCAGTTTACAATACGTCAGGTAACTTAATGATTCCAGTTTACAATACGTCAGGTAACTTAATGATTCCAGTTTACAATACGTCAGGTAACTTAATGATTCCAGTTTACAATACGTCAGGTAACTTAATGATTCCAGTTTACAATACGTCAGGTAACTTAATGATTCCAGTTTACAATACGTCAGGTAACTTAATGATTCCAGTTTACAATACGTCAGGTAACTTAATGATTCCAGTTTACAATACGTCAGGTAACTTAATGATTCCAGTTTACAATACGTCAGGTAACTTAATGATTCCAGTTTACAATACGTCAGGTAACTTAATGATTCCAGTTTACAATACGTCAGGTAACTTAATGATTCCAGTTTACAATACGTCAGGTAACTTAATGATTCCAGTTTACAATACGTCAGGTAACTTAATGATTCCAGTTTACAATACGTCAGGTAACTTAATGATTCCAGTTTACAATACGTCAGGTAACTTAATGATTCCAGTTTACAATACGTCAGGTAACTTAATGATTCCAGTTTACAATACGTCAGGTAACTTAATGATTCCAGTTTACAATACGTCAGGTAACTTAATGATTCCAGTTTACAATACGTCAGGTAACTTAATGATTCCAGTTTACAATACGTCAGGTAACTTAATGATTCCAGTTTACAATACGTCAGGTAACTTAATGATTCCAGTTTACAATACGTCAGGTAACTTAATGATTCCAGTTTACAATACGTCAGGTAACTTAATGATTCCAGTTTACAATACGTCAGGTAACTTAATGATTCCAGTTTACAATACGTCAGGTAACTTAATGATTCCAGTTTACAATACGTCAGGTAACTTAATGATTCCAGTTTACAATACGTCAGGTAACTTAATGATTCCAGTTTACAATACGTCAGGTAACTTAATGACTCCAGTTTACAATACGTCAGGTAACTTAATGACTCCAGTTTACAATACGTCAGGTAACTTAATGACTCCAGTTTACAATACGTCAGGTAACTTAATGACTCCAGTTTACAATACGTCAGGTAACTTAATGACTCCAGTTTACAATACGTCAGGTAACTTAATGACTCCAGTTTACAATACGTCAGGTAACTTAATGACTCCAGTTTACAATACGTCAGGTAACTTAATGACTCCAGTTTACAATACGTCAGGTAACTTAATGACTCCAGTTTACAATACGTCAGGTAACTTAATGACTCCAGTTTACAATACGTCAGGTAACTTAATGACTCCAGTTTACAATACGTCAGGTAACTTAATGACTCCAGTTTACAATACGTCAGGTAACTTAATGACTCCAGTTTACAATACGTCAGGTAACTTAATGACTCCAGTTTACAATACGTCAGGTAACTTGTTGACAAAAGTTTAGTATAATCTCGGGTAACTTATTGACTTCCGTTCAGTATACCTCAGGTAACTTGTTGACAAAAGTTTAGTATAATCTCGGGTAACTTATTGACTTCCGTTCAGTATTTCTCAGGTAACTTGTTGACAAAAGTTTAGTATAATCTCGGGTAACTTATTGACTTCCGTTCAGTATTTCTCAGGTAACTTGTTGACAAAAGTTTAGTATAATCTCGGGTAACTTATTGACTTCCGTTCAGTATTTCTCAGGTAACTTGTTGACAAAAGTTTAGTATAATCTCGGGTAACTTATTGACTTCCGTTCAGTATTTCTCAGGTAACTTGTTGACAAAAGTTTAGTATAATCTCGGGTAACTTATTGACTTCCGTTCAGTATTTCTCAGGTAACTTGTTGACAAAAGTTTAGTATAATCTCAGGTAACTTATTGACTTCCGTTCAGTATTTCTCAGGTAAATTATTGACAAAGGTTCAGTTTTTCTTGGGTAACTTATTGACTTTCGTTCAGTATTTCAAAGATTATTAACTTATTGACTTTCGTTCAGTATTTCACTGATTATCAACTTATTGACTTTCGTTCAGTATTTCACTGATTGTCAACTTATTGACTTTCATTCAGTATTTCACTGATTATCAACTTATTGACTTTCGTTCAGTATTTCACTGATTATCAACTTGTTGACTCCTGTTGAGTATTTAACAGGTAAATAATTGACTCCTGTTCAGTATTTCTGATGCAACTAATTGACTCCTGTTCAGTATTTCACAGATAATCAACTTATTGACTCCTGTTCAGCCTGTTTCACATGTAACTTATTGACTCCTGTTCAGCCTGTTTTACAGGTAACTTATTGACTCCTGTTCAGCCTGTTTCACAGGCAAATTATTGACTCCTGTTCAGCCTGTTTCACAGGTAACTTATTGACTTTCATTCAGTATTTCACTGATTGTCAACTTATTGACTTTCGTTCAGTATTTCACTGATTGTCAACTTATTGACTTTCGTTCAGTATTTCACTGATTGTCAACTTATTGACTTCTGTGCAGCCTGTTTCACAGGAAACTTATTGACTCTTGGTCAGTTTGTTTCACAGGTAACTTATCAGTATTTCTCAGGTAACTTGTTGACAAAAGTTTAGTATAATCTCGGGTAACTTATTGACTTTCATTCAGTATTTCACTGATTATCAACTTATTGACTTTCATTCAGTATTTCACTGATTATCAACTTATTGACTCCTTTTCAGCCTGTTTCACTGGTAACTTATCAAGTAAAGTTCGATATTTCACAAATACTTTTGGGGTATGATTGTTCAGGGTTTCAAATGGCAATATTTATATGCCAATCTGTGATCAAGGGTTTACTTCGTTCAGTATTTCACTGATTGTCAACTTATTGACTTTCATTCAGTATTTCACTGATTATCAACTTATTGACTCCTCTTCAGCCTGTTTCACATGCAACTTATTGACTCCCCTTCAGCCTGTTTCACCGGTAACTTATTGACTTTCATTCAGTATTTCACTGATTGTCAACTTATTGACTCCTGTTTAGCCTCTTTCACAGGCAAATTATTGACTCCTGTTTAGCCTCTTTCACAGGCAAATTATTGACTCCTGTTTAGCCTCTTTCACAGGCAAATTATTGACTCCTGTTAAGCCTGTTTCACAGGGAACTTATTGACTCCTATTCAGCCTGTTTCACCGGTAACTTATTGACTCTTGTTCCGTCTGTTTCACAGGCCACTTATTGACTCCTGTTTAGCCTCTTTCACAGGCAAATTATTGACTCCTGTTCACCCTGTTTCACTGGTAACTTATCAAGTAAAGTTCAATATTTCACACATACTTTTGGGGTAAGATTGTTCAGGGTTTCAAATGGCAATATTTATATGCCAATCTGTGATCAAGGGTTTACTTCGTTCAGTATTTCACTGATTGTCAACTTATTGACTCCTCTTCAGCCTGTTTCACCGGTAACTTATTGACTCCCCTTCAGCCTGTTTCACCGGTAACTTATTGACTTTCGTTCAGTATTTCACTGATTATCAACTTATTGACTCCTTTTCAGCCTGTTTCACGGGCAACTTATTGACTCCCCTTCAGCCTGTTTCACACCCAAATTATTGACTCCTGTTAAGCCTGTTTCACATGCAACTTATTGACTCCTTTTCAGCCTGTTTCACCGGTAACTTATTGACTTTCGTTCAGTATTTCACTGATTGTCAACTTATTGACTCCCCTTCAGCCTGTTTCACCGGTAACTTATTGACTCATGTTCAGTCTGTTTCCAAGGCAACTTATTGACGCCTGTTCAGCCTGTTTCTCAGGCAACTTATTGATTCCTTTTCAGCCTGTTTCACTGGTAGCTTATTGACTCCTGTTCAGCCTGTTTCACTGGTAACTTATCAAGTAAAGTTCAATATTTCACAAATACTTTTGGGGTAAGATTGTTCAGGGTTTCAAATGGCAAGATTTATATGCCAATCTGTGATCAAGGGTTTACATTCCGTATTTGCCAACTCTACCTATTTTGGAGTGAGACTCTGGATTTTGGACCCTTAAATTGAGAATTTCAACCAGTGAATTTGCTAAACTCTAACTATTTCTAAGAGCTAATGATTTCTTATGAAAGTGCAAAAAGATGTCATTTATAAGTGTTACTTTTTCTAGGATGAACATTTCCCTGTCCCTGCCATGTTTGGTGCCAGTTATATAACCGATTGTATAATAGTATGTACTAGTGCATATACTTCTACAATGTAGATTTTCAATTTTCATAATCATATCATGACGGACCTTTATTAAATGTCCATATTTGTTGATGGGCCATTAAGAAACTCATAAAAATCGCTCGTGTATGATAGGTCTGACATAGAATACTCTGTACTGAGCTCGGTAAGTAGTTACCTGTAGTCTACATATAAATATACAGTGTACATACATGTACAGACACACATACATTAGTGTATCTAGACTTTGTCACAAGGATAAACATATCTAAAGATACAAAATTCCCAGGATGCCTTGTTTGTACACAAACCTCTTTGTGTAAGAACACATGGTCCTAAATATAAACACCAATGTTAACGTTGTATACCTGAGTGCAGTAAGCTTACCTGTAGCCAATATACCTGTAAAACAGGTGATAACTAGGAAAGGTGTTTAATGATGAAGAGAGTGTTGACACATCAGTGTGAGGACAGCCACTAACAGGTAGGTAATAAGGTACATATTTACCTGTAAATACCTGTGTATGTGGAGTAGAACACTGTTCAGGTAAAGGTAAATAGACTGTACATATACTATGTAGTTTCTTTGTGTTCAACACAGACCCTGTTCTTTGTCTACTGTGTTAGGAAGTGTATGACATTGGTTTAAATTTGTAATCATGTATACATTATAGATTAATGCTTGCTTTTAAGAAAACTACCTGTCGGCAAACTACATATAATAAATCCCGGCCATTGCAGTTTTTATTAGCAGTGAGTTATTTTGTTTCCTGTAGATTGTGTTTTTAATCTTAAAAACAAAGTTAAGGTTGTATGTTATTTTATGACAGATTACACCAGTTTGTAATGTCTTTATTTCCTCATTTTTTATTTATTTTTGTCAAAAACAAACAATGAGAAACTGAAATTTATTGTTTCTGAATATGTGTAGGTGATATATTTAAAATGAATGCGGTATCGTTGACGGTCGTTATTAAACATGAATTTAGAAATTTGAATGTGCTATTATGATCATTTGGTATAGAAATTGAGGTTGGACGTTATTTTCACCGAGTTATTTTCCAGGTTTTAGTCATCATTGATAGAAAAATGAATGCAACAAGTATTAATGATAATACATAATATTATAAGTTTTACATAAACAATTTTTAAATCAAATTTCTATTTATAATTCAGTAGTTTGCCTGACATTCAAGTTAGGAGTAAGATATGCATAAAACAATTGTATTCTGACCCTATTATATGCCTCTATCTTGAGGGTAGAAAGTCAATTTAGGTGGTCAAGTACCCCCCACCCCCATACGGGGGCTAACAGAAACCCTTCAATTGTAAATAAAACTGCACATGATAAATTTGCGAAAATTTGAGAATGGTCATGGCATTTTGTTCTAAACGATGCAGGCTAATTATAATTATAAGTAGCTGATTCCTTGAGAAGTAACCTACATTTGTATACCTAATAAACGATGCTGTCTAATTATAGATAATTCCTTGAGACCATGTGGTCTTCCTGTTTACCTAAGACATCACCAGGATGTTGACTTGGTGTCATTGTGTGTCATTATGTTTTGTCTGTGGATATGTTGACACTGGGATGATTCTTGTCAATGCCTCACCTTGACTAATACCATAACAAAACATACTATACAAAAACCTGTACTCTAAGCCCTCTATATACACTCTGAATACCTGTGGTGACCATCGACCTGTAGATTTACGAGGATAACATGTGAGTGATGGAGACTGATGGCCATGATTACCAGTCAAGGATTATTTTAAAGATTTCTGTAAAACAAGTAACCAGGTAGGGGCTGTCCCAATCATCTGCTTTTTGGGCACTCAATTATGTTAATCTTGTAATCATTATATACTTGATCAGCGTCTTTCAGGAGCGAATTTGAACAATCCTTTTAAAGATACAACTAATAACAATAATACCGGATATACCGGATCAAAGTCTTTCAGGAGTGAATTCGTACAGTTCTTTTAAAGATTCTTGTAAAACTAGCAACCCGAGATATTGTCGGTAGGGACTGTTCCAGTCATCTTCTTTTTGGGCACTCCATTATGTTATACTGGTTATCGTAATATACCGGATCAACGTCCTTCAGGAGCGAATTTAAACAACTCTTAAAAAAAATAACTGTAAAATTAGTAACCAAAGCATTATCTGTAGGGGCTGTACATGTTCCATTCACCGTCTCTTCAGGCAGACAGTTATGCTGGTTAACTTGCATATTTTCTGTGTAGTTGATGGTAACAAGTAATGGTGTTGTAGGTTTATCTTTGGTGGCTTGATCTATTACCTGAAGTAAATATTTATATTAAGTAAAGCATTAAATTTGTTCAGTCCACTAGTGTTCTGTTTGAATCTATGATCTACATTGAAGTTTATAGTGTAAATCGACGGTTAACAAAGACAGCACTTAACTTCCACATACAATGTATTTTATTAAACATATTAGCCAAACCTTAATATTAAAATAAGATATTAGCCTTTACACGTGTTAAAAAGAAAGCTGAGTTTTCATGTGACTTGAACATGGATGAGCTGTATAAATGAATGATATCATTTATTTATCTTTTTAAAATAATTTCACCGATACTTCAATTCAACTTATGCATCCCGATTGTATTGTTACTTAATGGTATGTATGGGTAATTTATCCTCTTCAAATAATTTTCTTATTACCGAATTTCGCCAACAACTAGTAAAACAATACAAAAACTCTTAAGTGTGCACTTGTATTTATGAGTTTATTCTCCATGTGTGAGGAAAGTTTCTGTTGTCATAATCACACAGCAGAATGTCTGTGTTTAAGTACAGCCTATTGATGATAATAGCTTCTGCCAGCAAATGATAAACAATTCAAAACATACACACCTTTCCCTGTCACATTTTTTCTCTGCTGGTAATATAACTAATTTGATTGTCTGTGTGATTTTATAAATAATCGATGTAACCTTTGTATCTTTCAGACAGTCAGTAGAAAGTGTGTCATCTGTCATTAATCCTGACCCTCATCCCTCTACAGGAAGTTGTGAGCGACCTTGACCGACCTCGGCCATGGCGGCTGAGGAGCAACTCACTCCTGAGGCTTCAGCAACTATCTCGTAAGTTATCTCCCCTTTTAAAGCTTTGACCAGTGGAGCAGGTAACAGAATTAGACTTTAAAGGTACACATCTGAACCTGTCTCCGTACCTGTCACCTGTCACCTTTACCTTATTCCGAGGACACACCATCTTTATATGACCTAATACGTCAAAAGGATGTTAAACCCAGAAAACAATAAAGAATCTCACTACTAGAGCAGGCCACAGAGTTAATCATTATAGATGTAGTTGTGAACATCACAGATGACCATAGGAATTTGGCTAAACTTTCTTTGTTAACGGTTACCTATTTAAAAATACTTTTCACATAAACTCATGTAACAACACATTATGTATAAACTGTATCTTTTATTAATATTTGACATAAATAAATTTGTTGATCGTCATTTGTCTTAGAGTGCCGTGTATTAAGGGAAATAATCCAAGATGGCGATCTCCCAGAATCGTCGATCTTTTCCTGAAAAAAACTTGAAATTTTTTACGCCCCCCCCACTTTGGGTATTAAATTTCTGAAAAAAAAGGGCGCAAATTACATGGGTTTTTACGGTAGATACAATTTGACTTTAGATAGACTACAGAATCTTGCTGTATAGGGGTACTTGTGCCTAATAGATACAATTTGACTTTAGATAGACTACAGAATCTTGCTGTATAGGGGTACTTGTGCCTAATAGATACAATTTGACTTCTGACAGGCTACAGAATCTTGCTGTATTGGGGTACTTGTGACTATTAGAGACAATTTGACTTTAGACAGGCTCCAGAATCTTACTGTATAGGGGTACTTGTGACTAATAGATACAATTTGACTTTAGACAGGCTACATAATCTTGCTGTATAGGGGTACTTGTGACTAATAGATACAATTTGACTTTAGACAGGCTACAGAATCTTACTGTATAGGGGTACTTGTGACTAATAGAGACAATTTGACTTTAGACAGGCTACAGAATCTTGCTGTATTGGGGTCCTTGTGACTAATAGAGACAATTTGACTTCAGACAGGCTTCAGAATCTTGCTGTATAGGGGTACTTGTGACTAATAGGTACAATTTGACTTCAGACAGGCTACAGAATCTTGCTGTATTGGGGGACTTGTGACTAATAGAGACAATTTGACTTCAGACAGGCTTCAGAATCTTGCTGTATAGGGGTACTTGTGACTACTAGCTATAGAGACAATTTGGCTTTAGACAGGCTACAGAATCTTGCTGTATTGGGGTACTTGCGACTAATAGATACAATTTGACTTCAGACAGGCTACAGAATCTTTCTGTATAGGGGTACTTGTGACTAATAGAGACAATTTGACTTCAGACAGGCTACAGAATCTTGCTGTATAGGGGTACTTGTGACTAATAGCTATAGAGACAATTTGGCTTTAGACAGGCTACAGAATCTTGCTGTATAGGGGTACTTGTGACTAATAGCTATAGAGACAATTTGGCTTTAGACAGGCTACAGAATCTTGCTGTATAGGGGTATGAGTGACTAATAGAGACAACCTTAGAGTTGACTTTAGAGCTGGCCAAGAAAAATGACTTTATAATTTGACTTTAGAGCAGGCTGCAGACTGTATGTTATTAGTTATGTCTGAGTTAGGAGGGGTCTACAGGCTCATAGACCCCATCTGGTCTTAATAGACTCCGAGCCAAAGCCGAGGGGTCTACTGAGCCAGTAGACCCCTCCTAACCCAGAGATAACAAATTTGTCACCCTGACAATCTTTTATTAATTTTTTTCTTGCAAAATCATAAGTCACTTTGTGAGTTTGAGTTGTACTTGACTACCAAAATAACCCTACCAAACTTTTCGGCAATATTTCAGACAATGCACAACCATCTTTGCAATAAGCACCCTAGCAGCCCCAACATTGCCTGTTTCGTTAAATTTGCTATCGTTTAAGATTGTGTGTAGGCTATTTCATCCTGTGAATGATTTCCAAACCTCGAACGCTTGTGTGTGTCGGACGCCATCTTTGTTGTTATGAAGAGAGATTCTAGTTTGAGTTATCTCCCCTCGCACATGCTTTAATAGACCCCGGAAGAGCGGGGTTTCTAGAAATATAGACCCCTGCAAGATGTCCAATCAGAAAGAGTGTTACAAATTAGAAGGGTGGCAAGTAACTATCATTTCAGTGCTTCTCACTGACTTTTACTTTATTCCTAGACTAGAATTTCTGCATACAGAAACAAAGAAAACATTTCAAATGCCTTTATATAAAACAAAAGGTGAAATGGTGTGGTCTCGTATGAAATATATATTTGCTGACAGGTAAACACAGCACTGTGGAGGATTACACCAGTTAAAGCCACCATTTTACATTTGTGGTAACAAGGTCCTTGTTCCTCCAGATTACTTCTTACATCACAAATTTCTCTAAAGACTAAAGAGGATTTGTCTCCATAGACCTTGACACTAGTGATAAGGTATATACCTCTACCTGTAAGTGTGTTTTGTTACAGTGATAAGGTATATACCTCTACCTGTAAGTGTGTTTTGTGTTGCAGGGCTTTTTCTTTGATGGATTCCTCCAGACTCTCCACATTTGTCATCTCTATACTACTGATTGTGTACGGAAGTTTTAGGTACGTATTGTAATTATCCAAGCTGAGGTGTCTGATGTAACAAGCCACTCTCCCAGCAACCAATTATTACAAAAACTTGGATGTCAAAAGTAACAAATCCCCCACCACCGCCAACATGTAGTTAGTGTCTGGAGTAGTGTTTGGGCAAAGCAACATATCCCAATGTGTAGTACGTGTCTGGAGTAGTGTTTGGGCAAAGCAACATATCCCAATGTGTAGTAAGTGTCTGGAGTAGTGTTTGGGCAAAGCAACATATCCCAATGTGTAGTAAGTGTCTGGAGTAGTGTTTGGGCAAAGCAACATATCCCAATGTGTAGTAAGTGTCTGGAGTAGTGTTTGGGCAAAGCAACATATCCCAATGTGTAGTA